GGCCGGCAACATTTGCATCGCGCTGTTCACCGACTCTCCTAAAATCGCACTCGACTTAAAATTTCAGTCTTTCTTCCTAGTTCTGTCGTTACTCGTTCGCGAATTCAGTTGAGTTTTTACTGCTGCGGAGCAAACCGACTGAATTTTAGTTTTATTGTTGCGAAAAGAATTTGAAAAATTGTCAAAAATCCAAGAGAAATGTAAAAATTATATAGATAAAAACCAAAATAATAAAAAAAAACGAACTTTAATTGAAAAAAGTTTGCCCGGCAAAATACAATGTTTTCAACAAATATCTAAAGTGAGCGAAATGTCCAAATTTTTTTTGTAATAATATACATTTTTTTCTGTAATTTCGGTTTTTTTCCAAAAATTTTTGCGATTTTTTCTAATCATAAAAATTGTATAAAACAAAAATTCTGCAAATAGAAATTTTCGATACGACGTGAAAACTAGCGACAAAAAATTTCAGTCATTGCTTGTCTGTTTTTCTTTCTTTTTCCAATACTGCTCGCACTCGTTGGCCGAGGCGGTCACCATGCAAGTGTATAGGTGCGAGAAACACACTGACAATTCGCGTTCCGTACACTGTTTTGTGAGTGAATCGCTCGGTTTGTGAAGGAACAAGTTAGCATATAGTCGAGTCTTGCAGAGCCAAAAGTCCGTCAGTAGAAAAGCAACGAGTGGTTAAGAAAGAAACGAATGAGTGCGGTTTGTTAAACCAACGAGTTATCGGCGCCAATATGTTTGTCCTCTTCCCGCATTAAATGAAATAGCGTTCATATGTATACGCTTCAACTAGCGACAAATTAATGTTCGCTTATTTGATGGAATGAACGAATAATTGGCACGAAAGTGTGAACGGGCAGTCGACAGTCGGCTGAAAAGAAAGGTGAACGAGTCGAAGAGAAAATCTGCCGTTTGTCATTTAGCTCTGATCATTTTAAGTTAATTATTTCGAGGAAATTTTATTGGGCGAGATCACTGCCATATATTTACAAAATAACTTGGTAAAATTACGAAATTAATACACTAAAAATATAAAAAATTAGTGTACGTAAAAGCAAAATTAAACAAAGGGTCAACTCTCACTATGTTCTCTTACTGCATCAAGCATCGAAACAAACAAATAGACCAATTTCCGAATTTAAATCATNAAAATTACGAAATTAATACACTAAAAATATAAAAAATTAGTGTACGTAAAAGCAAAATTAAACAAAGGAGTCATCTCTCACAATGTTCTCTTACTGCATCAAGCATCGAAACAAACAAATAGACCAATTTCCGAATTTAAATCATATGGACATGAAAATAATTACGAAATCAATGATTCTAATTAAATAGATATATAAAAATTCTAAAATCTTTCTTCTACTTCATTTACAGTTGATGTGCAATTAAATATCGTTGGAAAATTTATTAATGCAAAAAAAGGCGCAAAAAACATGTACTCGAAGAAAAACAATGTTTGATTCGAAAGATGTTGATGGTTATAATCGTCGGCGTTTAAAATGGTGATTGAACGATCACTGCAAAAGCAGGAAAGTGTCAAGTGCCAATAAACAAACGAACGAGATATATGTGAACTGGGAATTTGTTAGCTTACAAATTTACATCAGTAACTAAAAAAAAAAGAAACACAAACAATTCACCTTAAGCGAGAAGAACTATAGAAAGTATACTATAATAAAAGGTATAAAAAGCCGAAAGTGGTCGGCCTACCTTTGCGACTTCTGACACAAAATGCACTCAATCGTAATCGGCAAAAACACTTTAATTCAGTTGGAAAATTTTGTAATTGCGTGGAAGCGATTTCAAAGAGTGCAGCCATTTCTAATAAAACTTCAGGAAACCAGCCGAATCAAGCAAGGTACCCAGGCTTGGAAAGTTGTAAAGCTTTCTTCTAATGTCACCCCTGGTGCAGCGCAACTATCTGCAACAGTGAAAAGTGGTGGTGTTTTGAAAATAAGTAAACAATTCGTGGCAAAGTCTTATGTCCCCCCACTAAATGTAGCGGCGTTTGCAAACTTTGTCAAACTCATCTATTTTCATCATTAACTTATTACAAATAAACTTGACTTTTCATTGCAAAATTTATAACAATTGTAACAGCAAATAAGCTAACCCATCTATACCTATACCAAGTGAAAAAGTGCGTATAATAATACGCGTATAAGGCTATTTAATACCAAAACAAGAAGCATAACAACGACGTCTGAATGATGGCAGATCATATGGATGAACCTCCGCAAAAGCGGACTAAAATGGATCCGAGTAAGATAATTGAAAACTGTATAAAAGTTTTATTATATTTTAATTTGTTTTATTTTTTCCAGCGGACTACGTCTCCGTTTTGGAAGATGATCTGCCAGATGAACTTGTTACTGGTAACAGCAATTGGCCAGATCCTCTTAGCAGCGGTGGAGGACCTGGCGGTCCAGGATCTGGCCTTGGAGTCAATGTGGTTGGCGGTCCTAATAAACCACCTGCACAAGGCCCTGGGCCAGGTGGACCGCAAATTAATGGTGGCGGCGAAGATTCCACTGGTGTGGGCGGCAATCAAGTCGGCGGTAATCCTTTACGTCAAATGCAACATCATCAACATCTGCAACAATTATTGCAGCAACAAGTAATATTAATGCTTATCAGATTTCATCAGCAAAAATTATAATATCATCTCGTTACAGGGTAACAAGAACATGGGTATGATAGGTAATCCTATGGGCGGAGCTGGAATGAACCAATTGGGTAGTAAATCACCTAACTTGCAATCACCAAACGCAGCTGGCATGCAAGTAGTTGGTGGTCAAATGGGCATGGTCAATTCGATGGCGATGTCTATTTCTAATAATGGCGCTCAAGGAATGAATACGATGCCCGGTAAGCGATTAGACTTTCATATATCATATAATCTTATATCAGTTTAAAGCCACTTATTGGTTTAGTAAGCAAACATATTTATTGAGAAAATCTCAACTCATATATTTAAAAACAGTATTTGTCGTTTTTAATATCTAAAACAAAGGAAAGTAGAAAAAAATACTTTACACTCTTCTCATTTTAAGCTTAAAGTAAAAGGAGCATATAAGCATTTTAAAATATATTTGAAACTATTTACTATATCTAATTATTCAGAAACATGTAGATAATAAACTATGAAAATAGGATAATAGAATTTCACTTTGGTGACAATGTTTTACTATATGCACTTCAAAATAAAATAAAAATATTTTTCTCTTAAGGCATGAATACAATTGCTCAAGGCAATATCGGTGGTATGGTGATCACCAATAGTAATTTGGGGGGTCTTGGCGGCAATGCGGGAATGGTGAACACATTGAAACAACAAATAGGCGCTGGAGCTGGAGGTATGATGAGCGCAGGGCCAGGCGGAGTGGGACCTGTTGGAAATATGGGTCCGGTCGGTGGTCCTAACCAAGGAATGCATTTAGGTGGCGGACCCGGTCATCCACAGGGTCTACAAAATGGACCGATGATGGGCAGAATGGTCGGACAACATATGTTACGTGGTCCCAGTCCACATTTAATGGCTGCTAATGGACCTGGTGTTGGTCCAGGAGGTGGTCCTCGAATGCAAAATCCAAATATACAAATGGGTAAGTTTTCTTTTTTATATAATGTAAATCATGCAAATTTTAAACATATCTAGTACATTCAGCGCACAACGATTCGACCCGTGTGTTTATTAGTTTTTGGGAACACGAATTTATGTGAAAATATATGATACTGCTTGCGGTGTAAAACGTAATATTGCTTTTTGAAATTTAATCAAATTGATAAGTTTTGAAACTTAAGTAATAATTAAAAAGTTTATTTCATGCAATACATTGATATTACAAAAGAAAAATACCAAGAATGTATAAACGATAAGTAATATAAACTAATAGTTTTTCGAGATTCTTTTTTAAACGTCATATTGTCTGTAATAATAATCAAGCCTATTACGGTATCCAACGGGTGCCATCCGAACGGATCTTATCATCCACGTTCCCTTTTTATGATGCGATTCGGATTAGATCCGTTGGATACCGTAGTAGGCATAATTAATAGTAATATCTGCACCAATTTAAAAATTCTGCTTCAAATCAATAGTCGATATGAGCCAGTGATGTTTATTAAATTATGTTTTGAAAGTCGTTGTCCTGATTGTGGAATAATTATTTCAGCCCTCAAAAAATTAAGTAAAAATTCAAAATAAAATAAAACTTGATGCTTTCCAATTCAAGACAACCCCTCAGGTACGGGAATGATTTTTAATTCCGATGAAACTGAAATATGTTGTAGCGGCTTATAAGCTCTTTTGGTTTTTATATAACAATTCGATACCAGGGGACTTTTTTGCAAATGCCCATAACTTTGTTAAAAATTATTGAATTTCAATAATTTTTTCATCAAATGTTGGTAAATGTTTTTGGTTTTATAAATTTTTGATTTATTTTTTTTAAGAAAATTTTTGCGAAGTTAAATTATGCAAAAACGATATTTTTTTCTTTCATACTTTTTCACAAGAAAATAAGCGCTTTCTAGGTGAATCCTTAGTAGCACTTTTTCTTTGGAGACGATTTTTTATTTATTTTTTCAAGTACATTTTTGAGATACATACTACATACATTGGTAATAATTTTCACACGAAAGGTTATTATTCATTATTATTATATCCAAAATTTTAGTGAAAAATGGTGGAAATTCACTAAAAAAATTTGTTCGAGCCAAAAAAAAAGTACGGGCTAATTATTTGGATCAACAAACAACATATTTCAGTTTCATATAAATTAAAATTTATGCCCGTACCTGACCGATTTGTTGTCTGGAAATGGAAAACATTACCTGAATAAAATGCTGAAAACCCTGAAAAGCCTTTGTGGAGGAGTTTTACTTACAGAAATTGCAATTTTGATTATGTTATGTAACATTTTTTATAGAGGATTTTAAAATTATTCGGTTAATCGATTAGTCCTTTAGTGACTGTTCACACGATTATTAAATTGGTTAATTAGATTTAAATAGTCGTCCAGCTAAGACATCGACAATTACAACAAATCTTATGTTGAACATGGAAAGACAAATTGCAAACAAAGCGCTCTTTATAGGGGGGTTTTCTCGAAGCACGGTTTATGAAATCGGCAGCCAGCCTTACCTGAATAATTTCCAGTATTTTTACTTGCATTTTTTATAGCACACCTTCAGAATGCAATTAGCTGAAAACCAAAAACATCTCAGGAGGACGGTTCTAGTGGCGACATTTTTCTTTTTAATACTACAATACCTTCCCTCCATCGTAAATAAATTGTAAAAAATAGCTTTTGAATGGTGTTACCTCATATGTAATTTTTTTCTTAATGATAAAGAAAGATGATGTGCAGTAACCTGCAGTAAACTACAGTTGCGGTCAATAAGATAGTAGCTAAATTCAAAATGATGTTGTTTGCAACTTATGCTTATTTATTTATTTTTAATAATTTTCATTTAAAATATATACATAGTTCGGTGTGTAACGGAAACCACACTATTAAAAGATTTAAAGCTTGCCCAAAGTTAGCGAAAATGAATCAAACCTAAAAAAAAAATCCATAAAAATTGTAAACTTTTTGTTAAGAATATTTAGAAAATTTTCGAATATACAGTTTTGTTGTAGCCCATTCAATTTTATTTATTTATTTATTTATTTATTTACCCAATGAATACAAAAATTATGTTTACAGACTAATAAGAAAGTTACCAAATTAATCTAAAATGAAAAACTAGGAAAAGGCAAACATTCGTTTCTACAGACTGAAAAATCAGTAATTTAAGAGCTTTCAATGCAATAGAGATCTAATTATTGTAATCATTGTAATAGGTACAATTAGTATTCATTTAATTAGTTATACATAAGTTGGAGCTCATTACAGACTATGAAAACTGCATACATTGAAATTAAAATTAAAAATGGTTTAAAAAGCGTGTGCTGGATTATTACAAAAATGAGAAAAGATAATATTCCGGAACGTAGTCCTTGGTAAAGAAAGAGATAAGGTTTAATACGGCCAGTGTTCTTCTGGTCGGTGCGTTCATGCTATAAACTGTTTTACTAAAGCTAATGTTAAATAATTCAGTGCTTCGTAGATTTCTACTCCGAACATTAATTTTAACTCTTCCGAGCAAGGCAGGACAATCAGTTTTGCCGGAAATTATGTCGAGCATGAAAGACATTGAGAGAGCTAATCTTCCATTACGAAGTGTCATCAAGTTAATTAGTTGACATCGACTGTAGTAAGAAGGGTTTTGCTTCAGAAAAATTTAATACTTGCAGGGCATAGCGTATAAAAACCTTTTGCAAAGACTCCAAACGACTTATATGAATTTGCTGGTATGGATTCCAAATGAATGCTCCATACTCTGACTTAGATCGGATAAAAGCAGAATATAAAGTCTTAAAAGTGTAAGGATCCCGAAAATCTTTAGTTATTCGACGAACAAAAGCTAGCATGCAGAACATGCATTTGCGATAACGCGGTTTATATGCGTAAGGAACGAAAACTTCGAGTCGAAATAAATCCCAAGGTCCTTAATTTCATTAACCGGCGATAAAAGCGAGTTGGAAATATGATACGAAGTTTTCAGATGCTTGTGGGGCTTTGGCAAATGTAATTTTATAGCATTTTTTAATATTAAGACACAATCGATTTTTTAAACACCAGATATGCAATTTGTTAATCTCAGATTGAAGAGCAAAAGAGTCACTGGGGCTTTTTTTCACTGAATAAATTTTTAAGTCGTCAGCGTATAAAAGAAACTTAGCAGTTGAAAAGCATAACCCGATGTCGTTTATGAATAAAATGAAAAACAAAGGACCAAAAAAAAAACGTGAAGGAACATTGTTTAGAAACATTGTTGAGAAACACTTTACAGTTTTCCTTCATGGTCCTTCCATATTTTTTACGTCATAGCGCACCCAGCGGTCTTTTTTGGAAAATATAAGTTGCAAACCGCAAGACCCCTAGAAAGGCTTTTGATGGTATAAAAATTTTAATGTAAATTACTTTTAATTGTTTCAAATGCTGCTCTGCCACCACAAACTTCAAATTGAAAAAAAACGCTTAAAATCGCCAAACCTGGAAAGAAATAACTTTTTTATATGAAATCTAAACTATCCGAAAAACTTGGTTTCATCAATTCCCCAGAAAAAAATTGGAAATGTTGTACAGTGTAATGACAGCTGCGTTTTCAAATCCGTTATAAAAGGTTGCATTTACATAGGATGGAGAAAGGGGAAGGTTGTTGTTGCCATGAAGCGTGCCTTTCCAACTGAGGAATGAACTCCCTTGGGGTGAAAATGGTAGTAGAAAAGTACGCAAAGTAGACAATTGGTGGTGAAATGCATTTTGTGAATTTTATTTGATTTTTTTTTTTAAATTAAAATACAGTTCATTCTCCAGCAGAACCCACGCTTAAAACTTTATAGAAAAGTAAAGAAAAATGCAACAAATTTTCATTCAAATTTCAAATATTTTTTCGGAAGTGTTAGAATTTTGTGAGTCTATTTTTATAGCTCATTCATTTATAGTTGCTAAAAACTACCGTTTCATGAAACGTCGCAAAATAGCATTTTTGGCGAAATGGCAACGTTGCGAACAAAATTGTATGAACGACATATCGCAACCTCGAATTACAAATGTCAATTTTTTTTTTAAATGCCGCGCTTAAAGGGTGAAAAATTGACATAAAATGACGCGCAAGAAATGGAAAAGAAATTTTCTTCTATCAAAACTTCTTAAACGAGAAACTCTCAAGAAAAAAATGCTCGTACCATGGTACAATTATTACAGGTATTAACTTCCCAGTCAGCGCATTTTCCGAACTGCCTTATTTGAAAAACATGTGGGCAACAACACAAAAGTTTACTGTAAGAGAAAAGGGATACTTTGGCTTAGTGTGCAAACGTGTTAAGTCCACTTTTTATGAAAATTGAGATTCTAATGCATTAAGATAGGACAACTCAAAATACATTATTATAACAAAAAAAGTCACCGTAATTTCGTTCTTACTTGTTGTTATGCAGCGGTATGCAAATGGGCTAAGTCCAAAAAAAAAATCTAGAAAAAAATATAAACGATAACTCGAGCAAAAATTTAGATATCTCAACGAAATTTTGGATGTAGGTTGCCCTTTATCCAAGGTAGGTGGTATTGAAAATGGGCGAACCACGTCCAATTTCCTTATAAAAGTATTTTCGAAAAATGCAAGAACTACGACATTTTAGTAAATATTGGACGCAGATTTGGTAAAAAATATAATAATGAAATTTTTGGGAAATGGGCGCGACCCCGCCCACTTATGATGAAATGCTGCATCCCTTACCAAACTAGGTACGAGGCTTGCTTAGGGTCTAGCTAAGAAATCTGTTGAAAATCTTTGAAATTGGACAATGGCTACGCGCATCTGCCATATAACCATATAATTTATAGAAACACGAAAACCGCGATAGATCAAGAACTACTAAAACGAATCCACTTAAAATCGATGATTGCGATAACGACTTAGCAGAAAATTAGATGTTTAAAAATTGTTGGATAATAGGCGTGGCGCCGCCCACTTATGATCTCAGATGTGTAAC